CTGGAGTGCAATGGCACAATCTCGGCTCACCGCAACCTCCGCCTCCTGGGTTCAGGCAATTCTCCTGCCTCAGCCTCCTGAGTAGCTGGGATTACAGGCACGCACTACCATGCCCAGCTAATCTACTTGCAAATGAAGCTTGGAGTATGAGTTTGCACTTCTTTTAGCACCTAGAGAAAAGGCCATGGAACAAACAGTCGTACATTTTTCTTCCCAATTTTGAAAAGCTGTAGTTTCACTAGTTAAAAAAAGTTGAGTCCTAAACTGAATGAACAATAATTTGGCATGCTTAATTTTCCTCCTCTATCATCTGCTTTTACTTTCTTCTCTTTGTTCCTCTCTCTAAGGAGTCCATTCAAAATTCCTGTTTCTCCTGGCTTCCATATTTCTGAATGTTGTTCAACCCTTATGTGACTAATGTTCTGCAAATTTCTCAGTGGCTTCAATTCAGACTCTCAGATCTTTTGCTTCCTTCTGTTTAATTGCTTCTCTAGTTGATTAGTCCTATGTATTTTTATATCTGATTATTTTTTCATCACCAAGACAGATACCTTCATCAGTCCTATTCACTCTTCACTCTTACTCATATAATTCACCAGCAGTTTTCAATTGTTTATTTTTCCCTTCTCTATCTTATGATTTTCATTTCTACTTAATCTTCTTAAAAGGGTAAGCTGATAATGCAACCCCTTGCTCCTAAACCCCTGGTGACCTCATTCACTTATTCTTTCAGTCTTTGATACGTGCCAAATATCATGCTAGTTACTGTGGATAAATGATGAGTAATGCACATTAGCCCCAGCTTTCATGGTTTTTATAGTCTATCTGGAAAGAAAAAAAAAACAACTTTAAAGACAGGCTTCTCTCCCCGCTTTTTAGAACTCTCTCCAATATGGTGGCAACTTTTCTATCCTCTTGATGAAAACATTTATCTGACTTTTACAGCATGTTTTTGGTTTTTTTCTCAACATTAAAAAAGCTCTGTGTGGTGAGAGCACAATGGCTTTTAGAGGACTCTTACCACTAGTCTCTGCAACTTTAATCTTGGCACAAACTCTTTGTGTCTCAATCTCTTAGTCTTTATTTTTTTAGCGATAGAATCTCTCTCTGTTGCCCAGGCTGGAGAGCAATAACATGATCATAGCTCCCGGTAACCTTGAGCACCTGGACTCAAGTGATCCTCCCATCTCAGCTTCCTGAGAGGCCGCGACTACAGGCGTGGGCCACCACACCCAGCTGATTTTTCTTTCTTTTTTTTTTTTTTTTTTTCGTAGCGACAAGGTCTTGTTATATGTCTCAGGTTGGTCATGAATTCGTGGGCTCAAGCAGTCTTCCTGCTTCGGCCTCCCAAAGTGCTGGGATTACAGGTGTGAGCCACTGCACCCAGCCTCAATCTCATAGTCTTTAAATGGTAATGATAGGAAATAATTACTGACATGTATCCAGTATTTGCTTTGGGCTAGCAAAACCTAGTGGTTAAAAGCACAGACTCTCAGTGAGTCACACTGCCTGGCTCTGGGTTCTGGCTCTGTTCCTCATCAGCTATGTGACTGTCAGATCTCATTGCCTCAGCGTCTTCATCTGCAAAGTGGGGAGAATAATATTGGGAATGATTGAATAAGTTAATAAAGTAAAAATCCTTGAAACAGTGCCAATCACACTGTGAGAGCTATATAAGTCTTAGCAATTTCTTTTATTACTTTTCTAAGTAAGTGGCACTATTATTCAAATTTTACCAATCATGAAACTAAATACCTTGCCCAGGGCCACATGTAAGTGACACAGTCGGAGTTCTAACCTGGACATCCTAATTTCGGAGCAGACATTAGTAATTACTACTCTATACAGTCTCTATTATAGGATTTCTATAATACTATAGTTAAATAATCAATATATAATAAAATTTAAAACTATAATGCACTATGAATATTTAAGGTATTATTATGTATACTATGATGAGTTATGTTTAAAAGAGACACTAATTTTTTTTCTTTTCCATCCCTTAAAACCTTTCACTATACCAGTAATTATAAACAACATTTTAATGGCATTGTATAATTTAGACAATCCCTTCACATACATGCATGTATTTACACTGCTACTTTCAGAGGTTGGCAAAGTCTTTACCATCACCATTTTTAAAAGAGAATACTGAGGATCAGAAAAGTTAAGTAACTTGCCCAAATGTTCACAGATGGTAAATGAGAAAGTCTCCTAATGTAAGTCCAAAGCCCCAAATGTCATCCAGTGTTTTACTCTCATATCCTGCTGTTTTCTAATGATTTATTTTTTGGTAGTTTGACAATTTTATAATATAATTTACCATTATGCATTTATTAAATATTAATATATCTTTGCATGCAACACCATAACTACTTAAACTTATATTCTTTTCTTTTTCTTTTTAAAGATTGTGATTGCTAGCATCATGTGCAGTTACAATAAAAACGACTGGATGGAACTTTCCAAAATGTCTGAGGTAATGATTACTTTAGTATATATTTATTTTATTTCTTCTCTCCTATTTTTATTAGTTTTTAAATAAAGAGCTGCCATGAAAAATAATACAGTAGAAGTAAAATTGAATTGAAAATGTAACTTAAAACATTTCTATTATAATTTGTTTACCCTGTGTTTTCATTAAAATGATGGAAATTTAAATTTAAAAGGAATTTATTCTATAAAAGTGGTCCCTTGGATTTCACACACTACCTAAAAATCCTTTATTCTCTGAATCCATACACTCTTTATTTGCATGTTAAGCAAACTGTATATTATGATGGATGCCATGATAAAATTTAATTCTACCTTTGAGAGTCTAACTTGATCTTACCTTGCCTTTAGGCAAACTAGCTTGACAGTAAGAGAAGAAATTTTGAATATAAAATCTTGAATATTTAAAGTATAAAAGGTTCATTTAATACTATTCTAGTTTGAATACAGACATGCATAAAATAGTAGGACAGAATGCTCCTGAATGGAACACTAGTCAGCAGGTTTTCCATAATATAAATTGAATTCTGCACAAATGCAAACAAGTAACCATGTGCCTCAAATTTGTATTTCAAATAAAAAAATACATACTTAAAATTATACACTTATGTCCCTCATGCTGTCATGGAAAATAGCCTATAGAGTCTTGACTGGGGTTTCTTGAAAACCTCTCAGTAATACAGAAGACTAAATCTAACAATATTGATTAACTAATTGACGCTACGTTATAAAATATTGTAAAGCTGTCTATAGTGTTCAAAAATGTTGATTATACATTTTATTTGGATATTTTAAAACTGGGAGAGGAAAAATTACTTCTGGGACTTAGAGGGGTGAAATTAAACATGATCAGTAATTGGCCTTGTGATCTTCCGTGCTGGGTTCATTTGATACATGTATTTACCTAATTGACCATGAAATCTTCCACAGAGCCCATGCTTGGCATGAGCTTTGCCAATTTTAAGCTGACTATGATGAATGGCTTTATCATGCCGCTTGCTTCTCTGCCTTTCTGTAAGAACAAAATACTTTTCAAAATTAATTTTTCAATATTAGATGAGAATTTTTAAATAGACAAGATTACTTTTTATAAGTCAAAACCCTTTAAGTATAAACAGACTAGCTAATCTAAAGATTTTTTTCACATCTCATATTTTTAATTTTAGTTTGATTTAATAACACCTTCTAATTATTCTATAGCAAAACATAAATAAAAAGAAAGGAAAAAAGAAAGAAGGGAGGAAAAGGCATGCCTTTTATTTAATCAAAACAATCTGCAGAATCTCTCCATAGGAGAGCAGTCTACATAACAAGAAGGTTTGATAATGTCAATTAAAAAATAAAAATATTCACCATAATCTTAGATCTGGACTAGCCCAGGAGATATCACATGAAGGAAGTATCCCCCAGGCCTTCACAGCTTCTAGGAGGGTAGCATTAAGCAGCATGATGTCATCACAGTTCATATGTACGCACCCAATAACGTTTTGTAGAATCAGTATTTGGTTTTGATTTTGGAACACATGCTTAAAAATAGCATGATTTTCTTACAATGGAAAAACCCACATTAAAACAAACAAACAAAAACATATTCAAGTCAAAGTTACTATTCCACCTAACATGTACGTTTCTTTTGTGGGTGGTGATATACAGATGTAAGAAATCAGAGACACCACACCAGCACTTCTGCATGCCAACGGCTTTAAGTTTGGCTAATAATGTGATGTGATGGTGTATACTATACCTTAAGTTTATAAAACCCTTTTATGGCAGATTAGTTATTGAATTACACAGTAAAGAGTTGAGGAAGCCTGCTTTCAGCTTTTTACTACTTTATCTGAAACAGAAACGATACACATAGAACAGTAGAACTTTAGAATGCACGTGTGTTTCATGTTGTCTTGTATATTCTTCAGCCTGGTTTAAATTTTTCAGGATTTTTGAGCACCAGAAAGAAGTTTCTACTGCTTAGTGTCAAATCAGTAGCATCGTTAGAATCTGCTTAGTTTTCTTGGTCCAGGTATCTGATCACAGGCTCTCTTGCTTTTCTGGAACCGCAATAGTCTACTCCAATTCTATACAAAAAAAGATTTATGAAACACCTACTATGTATAAAGTCCCTGACCAGACAAAACAAAGGTGAATATAGGGAGCAATCAAATATGATCCATTACTGAAGGTCCACAATATTTGCTTGTATATAGATCTTTAATACAGTAGTAGATCTTGAATCCATTTATTTCTTAATTTGTAATTAGCCTTGAAAATACAGCCTGAGTCAAAGTTACTGTGAAAAAGCTTTATGGAAGTATACAGTCTCATAGAAGTAAGACTGAGGAAGAACAGAAAAATGAGATGGGGAGAAGGGAAAACAAATGCAATATGGTGCATTCCAGAGCTGGCCACGACTTCACAAGGAAAGGAAGCCAACTGCTCAGTCATATGGGAAGGGAATAGCACATCATCCCACAAGACGATAGACTCACCCATTCTCTCATCACTTTCTAGGAAAGGAAGTGGAAGGAATGAATCTACTGGCTTCTTCAGTCTCCTCTCACTGGTCCCATTTCACTCCATAGGGTTTTACTTGCCTCTGCACTCTTCAGTTGTATGCCCTGCCCCTTCAGGGAAGCTGCTAGGGAAGCCAGATTTTATAACATGGTGTGTAATGCTTCATCTAAACCCAGAATTGTAGGGAAAGGCCAGAGCTTCCTGATCAGGCCTGGGCACTGGTGCTCCTGGAGCTCTCACTTTGACAGGCTCAGTGGAGGTTGTAACACAGCCCATCTCTGATCTTCAGGGAGTGTGCGAGAGCTGACAACTACTATAGAAGATGTGAAGATCGCAACAGGGACTGGGGCTCCCCTTTGAACTAGTGGCAAAAGCCTTGGTGACAAATTGGGCCATCAAATTTGAGGAAGCTTATAATTGGCTGGGGCTCAATATGCATCATTACCATTCTAATCCAAGTTATCTACAATAGCTGCACTAATCTTCTTGCCCTCAACCAATCCAAATTCTTTCTGTTTTTCCTGATTTCGAAATCCTTAACTTGACTATTAAGTGCTACTTGGTCTCGCCTCTGCCTGCCTCTCCTCAGTGTCACTGTGGATCTGTTCTCGGCATTCCAGATCCCACTGCCTTCTTTTCCTCCTCCAACACGTTCTCAACTCAGAGCATTTGCTGTTCCCTTGGCCTGGAATGTTCTCTCTTCCTCAACCCTGAGCCTCTGGCTCTGTAAGTTAAACCTCCCTGTCTTCAGAGGCCAGTTGACCAGATACTTAATGAAGCTTAAGCTTCAGGGCATTTATTTGAATAGGCTACTTCCAAGTCCCTATACCTAACTCTGTGTTTACAATTTTTAATTATTTTTTTTTTCCTTAAAGAGGGTTTTCCAAATTATTTTAGCATCAGACTCCCCCAAATCTGGATCTGCCTCTGTCTGTGCATTTCCTCTGTAGTATGTAATAAAGTGGTGATTAACAGTTGTGTGATTAGCCATTACTAATAGTTCCTCTGTTCTGCTTGTTAGAAAGCAAGTTCCATGGAGGTTGAGACCCCTATCTAGCTCACTACTTAATTCTCAATTCCAAGCACAAGGCTTTGTCTCCCAGCAGATATTTGTTGAATAAAGTAAAAAAGAAGTGTGCAGTTCAAATATTGCAATGTGACAAACAAAAAGGAAGCTGTTACACAATAAATGGGAAGAGTGGTATTTTATTTGGCACCCATGAACTTGAATTGATTAAAATCCAGTGATGAAGATTTTAAGCAGGTACCTGTGAGGGATTGCCAAGGTCCTGACCACTTTCAGTAGGAAGAGACAAGGAAGCTCCAGTGGAGAGGCACAAGCACTAAAACCAAGTGATCATACTGTTCCTAGCACGGCAAAAATAAAACACTAACAAGCCAGGTTCTTATCATTTTTTTACCTGAATCTGGGCAGCAATATGTTCTGAACTAAATAGCTGTGAGAGTTAACAGTCTCAAATAGGTTGAGGTTAAAAAAAAAAAAAAAAGAAAGAAAAACAAAAAACAGACAGAGGCACATTACAGAAATATATAGGACCACTTGGATGTAAGTCTCTGAACAGGGACAGTAAACAGGACAGAATGGAATCACAGGAGAGAGACATGCAGCTGGAGATGAGAGATAGTAACTGATTTTATGTCCAGTGGAGCCCAAGCCAGTAGAGTGTTTTGCCTGTCTCAGGTCTGTCTCAGATTGGTTTAAGAGCCCAGAGAACTTTAACTCCAGTTTTGGATACTTGAGACTAGACAATAGCATTGCTACTTAGAAAGTCAACATCTGACCCCACGTATTCATTTAACAAAGAAATTTAGAGAGAATCCAATAACTGTGGCTTTCATGCCCTGCTGCAGTACACTGTACCCACCCTACTTCTGCTCTGATGTCCTTTGCCAACCCCTGTCACCCTTGGAAGTCTTCCCTTGGGCCATGATACACCACACCATGCCACTGACCATGTAGATGTCCTTCTGGCTCTACTCTGCATAGGCTATGACACCCCACAGTGAGCCCTCATGGCTCCTCCTCAAAAGCTCAGGATCACCTGCCTTGCTCTGCCCTGGCCAATGGCTAGAGCTGTATTGATGAGGAAGATAAAGGAAAGAAAGGAAGAACTAAGGAAAGAAGGGGAAGAGAAAGGAAAAACGCTTTGTACCTGATTTTGTTATATATGTTGCACAGGGTTTGTGGTTTTGCCACCTTAGTTTCTCTGGGTGTTCTTATAAAGTGACTCAGAGAATTCTAAAAAGTATACAACTGCCATATTCCAAGAATTTCTCAGGATAGTTTACTTTTCCTTTTTCTCCTGAGGTTTAGACAATGTAGGACCAGGTGAGTTACCTAAAATCGTTTTCATATCAAGGCAGAGGTCTAGTTGGATGGATAGATAAGTATTTAGATGGATAGATAGATAAGTGATAGGTAAAGTATTTAGATAGATAGTATATACCGTTATAGTATTTACTACCTTCCAGAAGTCATTTACTTTTATCAAATTTATTTTTCATCACTTTTCTTCAAACTTTCATATATGTCAAAGCTCTTATTTTTCTTTTCAGTTTACTTAAAACTGTAAAAAATAAACTTTCTTTTTTGGTACTTCTCATTTCCTGTATTAGCTTTGGAAACATTTAAAAATACATCTCCCTAGAACTCTTCTGTGCAAATATCAAGTTTATTTATACCTTATAACCACAACTCTATGACTTAATATCATTTTTTTTTTACAGTTTTACTTCTAATTTTTACCTTTTTTTTTTTTTTTGAGTTCTAACTTGTCACTGACTTGATATTTTTCTTGTTTTTTGGCAAGGTGGGGAAGCTAAGGCCAAAAGTAGTGAAATAATGTGTTCAAGTGCACACAGCTAGGATACATTAAAAGTGGGATTCAAACCCATGGTTTGGCTCAGAGCCCACAACATTAATATATATATATATATACACTCTACTTCACATAGATGGATGATAAATAGATAATGTAGGAAATTAAAAATAGTGTATTTCCTATGTCACTGCTATCACTAAGATATTTCATTTTATAACCATTTAGGTGAGGTAGAATAAACTCTGGGTAAGTGGCTAAACTAAAAAGCTTGTGACTAACAAGAATCAGAATGCATGCCCAATTTCAGTTAATTTAACATTTCATGCTAATTCAGCAATTAAGGCTTTTTGAATGGTTAGAGTTGCTTGGAAATGGAATTAGCTGCCTTTTAAGGTAGTGTGCATCCTGAGACAGGAATGTTCAAGCAGAGGCCACATGAATGTTTCTGTTCTCTTGGTGTCGCCTTGAATAGCATTGTCTGTTTTTGAGGGTTGGATGCACATTTCAAAGGCCTTTCCAGGTGTGTTTGGTGAGTAGGTGTTTGTATATGTATACAATATCGGGGAAATTGTAATAATTAGTCACTGAAAAAACTTTATATTGGACAGGTGATTTTAAAATATTTTAACTTTTACTTCAAACTTAGAAGCTGTAAAGATATTGAGCTGTTATGTTTTTCCTGACACACTATGACAGCTCCAGCCATAAAATAAGTGATTTTTAGTAAATTGTAATGGTACAAACGCAGGCTCTGAACTCAAAATGCTTGGGTTCAAGACGCTACTATCAGCTAGAAGCTGTGGGATGTTGGATACATCACTTGAACTCTTTATGTCTCAGTTGTATCAATTGTAAAGGAGGAATAATGATGTATCCTACCTCTTAGAGTTTCTGTGAGGATAAATTAAGATAAAACATACAAAGGACATAGTAAAGTATCTGGCATATTGTAAATGGTCAATTAATGTTAGCTATTATTATCTAATATGGTAGCTAGGTGTAAGTTTGAAATGAAATATACATAATGTAAATATGTATACAATTAACATGCAAAGTTTATCTAATCCAAAATGAGGTTGAATTGATTTGCTATTAATTGCCGCATTTCAGTTAAATAGAGAAGTCTAAAGGAAATATTTGAACTAACCAGGAAATAATAACAAACATGTTACATTGTATATATTTGCACTGTACAATCTTTTCATTAAGCTTGTAATTATTGCATGGTGTAGTTTTGAGACAGGTCATATTATCCACAGTTGACACTTGAGCAACTGGAGACAAAGAAGATTGACTGACTTGTCCAAATCATTCCCAATTCCTTAGCTACAGGCTAAGAATTCCTTAGCTACAGGCTAGAATTAGAACTCAGGGTTCAGCAGGCCATGCTCATCCATGCTCACTACCAAACCATCAAGGAAAGAATAGCATGGTTTTCAGCAGTTCTCAAATAACAAGCCTTTTAAAATTGGATTAGAAAAGCAAAACCATAATGAAACCATATTTAAAAACAAGCTCAGTGATCAAATGGACATTAACAAATGTGCAGAAGAAAAACCAGACTTACTAATGAATAAAGATAGGCAAGAAAATTGAAACCAAGAAATAGCTAACTGGAGTTTGTAAGTCTGTTGAGGTCCTGCTTAAACTTTATAAGGAAGGAAAAAAATAGGCTAAAATCTTAAACAATTAGGAAGGAAAGAGAAAAAAGAAACAGCTATTGGCCTAAAGAAAGGTCTGATGTACTTAGAAAGTAGTGAACTATTTTTTAAGCCTTTTCATGTGCTAAACCTGTTAAAATACTGTTGTAACCAGTTCAAGCTTCTAGTTGGCCTTACTGAAAGATAAATTGTGGCACTGGAAAAATTATAGAAGTTATTTTTAAAAGTTATTAAAAGAATATAAAACTTGAATCAGTTTTTCCTCCATCCCTAAAATTACTATACTAGCTTTTTTTGGAGACAGAGTCTCCCTCTGTCTACCAGGCTGGAGTGCAATGGTGCGATATCAGCTCATTGCCATTTGTCTCCCAGGTTCAAGCAATTCTTCTGCCTCAGCCTCCCAAGTAGCTGGGATTAGAGGCATACACTGCCACGCCTGGCTAATCTTTTGTATTTTAATAGTGATTGGGTTTCACTGTGTTGCCCAGGCTGGTCTCGAACTCCTGAGCTCAGGCAGTCCGTCTATCTATCTCGGCCTCCCAAAATGTTAGGATTACAAGTGTGGGCCACTGCTCCCTGCCATTATAATAACTTTTAAAAGTGTTTTGTTTATCCTTTAAGTTCTTCACAGAAGACTTCTCATGAATTCTAAGATTCTCAAAGTATTCTAAGAATACTTAGAATGAATTATGTTGTTTATTTTGACAAGATCCATTTGTATACGAAGGAATTAATAATTAAAATAGGAGGGATTTTTATTAAGTAATTAAGACAAAACTATCAATACTTCCAATTTCTTAGATGGACTGTTTTGCATATAATAATGTTGGTTTTCAGTTAAAAACATTTTAAATTTTGCTTGTTCATTCTAGCTAGCCTACTACATTTTTCTTTGTATGCCTACTCCCATCATCAATTATCTATAATTAGTAAGATTTGTGTATATAAAAAATAGAAGCTGTTTAGGAAAGAATAAATGTGATGTCAAACCAATCTCAGTTACAATCTCTACTGTGTCACCTAATAACCAAGCTTGTAATTTAACCTCCCTAATACTTCAGTTCATGTGCCTGTAAAATTGGTATCATAATGATACAAAGATTATGAGAATTAGAGGTAACAAATATAAAGCATATAGAGCAGTGAGTGGCCCCTTATAAGCACTCAGTAAATATTGGTGGTGTGATTGTTGTGATGGTGGTGGTTGTTATATAAACCTTAATTTGAGAGAGTTAGAACATACCTCACAAGATAGCTGTGATGCAGAAAACAGAATAGTTAACACTTGACAAATATGATTTTTGTTATCAGTGGTGAAAGTCTACTAGTATATAAATAAAGCTTTGCATTTTCTTTCATTTTCCTTTCTTATTAAAAGGATTCCGGAGCAGATGCCCTGGAGTTAAATTTATCATGTCCACATGGCATGGGAGAAAGAGGAATGGGCCTGGCCTGTGGGCAGGTAAGGACCTTGACAGCTGCCACTAAGTATATCAGTGTGCCATAACAGGCCCCCGTATGGATAGTTACTATACCTTAGGCAAGGAGATGCATGGATCAGATGACTGGCTAGAGACTTCCAGGTCTGCATTGTTTAAATATTTAGTGCTTAAAAAGTGGAAAATGAGGGAAGCTGAAATTATAGCAACTGTTTAGTTTTATTGAGGAAAATATCACATTATGTGCTTGACAGGAAGTAATATCATAACAAATAGTTTTTAAAAGCGCTGAAGCAGAATTAGCTGATTTCAAATGCAGTGTTCTTTATTCATTCCTGATGCTGATCCAGTTTCCCTGGAGCAATATAGTGTACAAAATGCATTGTTCGTAGTGATTTTGTAGTAAATGGGGCACAGCACAAATTGCATTTTACATTTTTTAGCATATGATCATTATTCACTAACTGTGTTTGGGGAGTTGCAAAAAGACTTTGATGCTATTTTTATTTTTGGATACAATAAATGGAACCTTCATTCTAAATACTTTCAAAGCCTAATGAACAAAATATGAAATAATATGTTAATATATAGAAAACACTACATCTTTATGTAACTAGTTACAATGTTGGATGTTAAGGAGCACTGTAAAAGCTTAATGCTAAAAAGGTGAGTATTTTGCGTCTCACAGTTTAGCTTTTAAGTCCGGAAGGAAATGGTGTGAATTAAATAATATGAAATGTAGTAATTTCTGACAGATTGTCTAGTCCTGGAAAGTTTACTTTTATCTCCACCTTGGGCACAGGGCCTTGTACTCAGTAGGTGCCCAGCTATTTTTTTTTTTTCTCTCTCCAGTCATCAAATTGATTTGAATTAAACTCAGAGGCCCTTAATTTGGGAGGGCAAACATTTGTGGTTATTCAAATGAACATAGGCTGCTGTCTTTGTTTTAGCGTTCAGCAAGAATTTTAAAGTACTTTGCAAATATTTAACATGCAGAATAGATTCGTGACGTAAGGAGAAAACCATTTTTATGTAACAGCAAGAAAGGAGGGGCTAGTCAAATATTTTTCAGGTATATTCTCTGTTACACTTACAACAGGTTGCCCAGAAGATCGGTAAGTGTAACATATGTTAACAGAACCAAAACTCAGAATTACTCAGTACAGGCAAAATATCATGATATCAAATCATGACTTTTATGAGTCACATGATTAGATAATAGCATGTTAAGATGAGTAATGTGATTAAAAGGGGAAAGATTCCTTAAAGGAAACCTGGAATGGGGGCTGAGTTAGTATTCTTTTCCCATCTCAAGATTGTCCTTCCACTCATTTCATAGTCTCAGTATCTTGGAATCAAAATATTTTTTAGTTACATAGATAAAAACAGCTATGGAGATTTTAAATCTATTGATTGCTTTGTTAGAGCGTAATGCAATTCAATATTTATCCCTTGCAACAAATATGACAGTTATTTTTAAAATATTGCCCTAGTCCCACCTGAGTTTATTTTTTTGGAGTAGGATTTTGCTATATGAGCACATCTGAATTTACTCAGTCATTAAGTGTCTTAGGTGTATCCTTTCTAGAGCATTATTTAGCCACATAAAGTTTTGCACAGCCTTTGGCTGAATGAGAATGCCAGATGCTAAAACTTTGCAGTCAGAGAGACCATTAAGATTTCTAAAAACTATTGGAAAATGCATGTTCCAGAAACCATGATATCTTGGCTGAAGAAAATTTAGGAACATTTCCATTTCACTTATTAGTTATAATCTCTAAAACTGAAACCAATTCTTCCTGTCAGCCAAGTTTAGAAATTTTCTTTTAAATGATATTCTCTCGTAAATTATATAATTGAAGAATAAAGCTAATTTAATCATTTTTGTTCCAACATATTTTAAATGATTACTCTGCCTGAGGACACATGAATGTTCCATATTTTAAATAAAGGGAAGGCAGAATATTAGTGCATTAAAAAAAATGCTTTTCTGTGACTGACTTTCTCAAGTGGGCACAAACACATTCGGGCCGAATTTGCCTTTTCCTCTGGTTCCTTTTACCCCTTCTCTGCCTCCTCTTCCCATTATTTCCCCCTTTACCTCCCTAAGTTCCAAAGTCTTGAACATTTGCCAACTGGTGCGGTGGAGAATTTATACTCAGTGTTGGGGGGCTGAAGAGTCATTCTAATCCCCCTTCCCCATTGCTATGTGATCTTGCATTTCATTTGTTGAAAACTTACTATGTGCCAAGCCAGAGCTGCATGCATGGTCAGAGCCTAATTATTGTGTGCTTCATGAATTAGACATGTTATTGGTTCCATGGCTAAAATATTTATCTGTCAGAGACACTTTCTTGTTAAGTACATGTTCCTCTCTAAATACCTGATTTTCTTCTCCTTTATCTCAAATATTTTCTCCAAATATTTAATAAGTGAAAAATGCTGCCTCTGTACCTAAGTAATTTGCCTGTGTGTAATCAACATTGTATAGACCTAACACTGATATATATACAAATATATTTACAAGTGTATATATATATGTATATATGTATATATATATACATATATACATACGTATATATGTATATATACACATACGTATATAT